CCTGGCTCTCCAGAGATCATCGGTCAATGCGACCAAAGCGGTTTCTGTGCTGTAACTAGGTCTGAATAAATATTACTATCTGTATCTGTTTTATAAGACAAGTGATTTGAACTTTTGCTTGTCAGCATGAGAAAAATGTGCAAGAACCAAGGATTTAAGCACATTCATAGTTTTGTAGAATTATTTCTTTCTATTGATTAAAGTACTGAATGATTTTTCTTGATTTTTCTTTACCTGACTGGCTTCCAGATAAAATGCTGCATTTGTAATTATTTGGGTATATAACCCACTCAGAAAACATCAGAATATTTTATTAATGTCCGAATGACTATTCATTTGGACATGCTTGACTTTCATGAACAAGAGGGCTCTATATCTGAGAAACAGGAAATATCACTTAGGGCCAATTAAAATGGTTTGAGTCTAGAAAGCAGGAATCTGCAAGGGTTAAAAAAAACAAGGCTTCCTAGTACTGAGGCAACACAATGGTATGGGCTTTTCATGATCAAAGTTAAGATACTTATGACAGCCATTTTCAAACAGTAAATTAGACAAGCTCTTTGGGAATTCATCAGTTAGCCAATCAGGAATGGCAGACATGTTTTCTTGCCAATCTCTGGTTAATCATCTTTCATCAATGCATGGGCATTCTAGAACACAACTTAGAATGACATGGATATATGATGGTATTGGTATGAAAACCATGTAGTATTTCACAATTAACATTATGAAAATAATTACTACTCGACAGAGTAAAATTGTAACCATATTGGTATAATCTCAGTTTATAAACCCAGATTGGTAGGAATCATTTCTCTACTACTATTGCTATAATCAGACCAAACAGATTCCAATTAATCACAGATTCCAAATTCTGTGAGCTAAAAAATGATAGTTAGTAGTTTTGGAACAATCTATAATTATAAATAAATCTGTGGTTTAACAGCTTGGCTTGTGCTAAGGCTCTTTCTAGTTTGGATGCGCCTGGAAGTTACAATTGTATAAGTACAGCTATATACCACAAACAGCAAATTTAAAAAAAACTGAACATGTGAATAACATACTTACAAACATCAGTTAATGTTATAAAACCCTAAAGGTTATCTGAAATGAGGTACTATAACTGTAAACATACCAATATGTTCTATAATTTACTTAAATGTTGCTAAACTTGGTTGTTAAATCTAAACTTTTAGCAGTTATTTGGTGAGTTATGGCTTACACAAAATAGAAAACCATATATTTTACTTCAATTTCATCCACTTTGATTAGACAAAAATATAGCAGACCGATATAAAATGAATATCAGTTTCGCATTCACAATTTGTTGTTTTCTGGAATAATGCAAGCATTGAAATTTTGTTATTTGATGATTCTTGAAATTTATGAAATTATTGTATTTCATGCCATTTCAATAATTGATATGGGCATTGACTAGTCCTGGATAGCAGAAAAGATCCCTTAGAGGTGGCGCAGTAGTTAGAATGCAATACTGCAGGCTACTTCTGCTGGCTGCCTGCAATTTGGCAGATCGAATCTCACCAGGCTGAAGGTTGATTCAGCCTTCTATCCTTCCGAGGTCGGAAAAATGAGGACCCAGATTGTTGGGGGCAATATGGTGACTCTGTAAACCGCTTAGAGAGGGCTGTAAAGCACCATGAAGTGGTATATAAATCTGCTATTGATTGATTGATATTGATCTGCATCTGCTCTGTGTCCTAACTTCTCAACAGATGATCAGTGTCAGCTCTGACAAAACTGTCACCTGTTTTTGACAAAGTCTTTCTCCTGTTAAATGAGGGATGCTATTATTGCATATTAATTTGCTGTCTATTCAGAAAACTGTGGTCACTGTTTCCTACATTTGATAGATGAAGTTGTATTGCTCATCCGTATGGGACGACCCTAAAAATTAATCTAGGGAGAGATTAGGCAGCTGTTTCTGGCCTCCTGCTCCTATATAACTCCCTGACAGTGGGGAGTTGCTACCACAGGATATTTGGAGGGCATCAGCTTAGAGAAGGAATACTTTGTAGATTATATTCATTACTTCTTTGACTTAGTATTAGATTGATAATGCCTCTACTAAGAAGTCTGAAAAGGAAAAGAGCATGTTTGTTTAATGTTTTGGTTCTGAAAGCCTATAGGATATACATTCATTTCCATTCTGGTCATTTACAGATAAAGTTGCCATTTAAGAATTGATTGGGCTCTAAAATATAGTCAATTTCCTCAGCATATGTAGAAAAATTATTTATTTGGCAACCCAGGCTAGAGGACCTGATAGATCTCAAAATCGTGATGTTATTGCCTGAAGTTAAAATTCATGGGGGTTTCCCAATATTCTTTTAAATACTAAAAAGGTGACCTCTAGAGACAACACTGACTCAAGAAAAACTCTGGATGGAGTGGTTTCAGTATGAGAAGTGACAGATATTTCAGTGCCTGCTCTTTATATAAGATTGTTTTAAATAATCCATGTAGCTGCACAATTTGAAATATACACAGATAAAGTCTAGTTCCTAAAGCAAAGCTTAGCAATCTACCATGAAGCTAAGCAAATGTCTTAATTTTTTTATCTACTGCCACTTGCTCTGAAAACTATCCAGAATCCATCAGATCACAAAATATGACCAGTAATTTGACTTAATTCGGGCTAACTGGGCAGTCTTAATGCATCTTGAGGGCAATAGACTGGATGCTAACTTTATGGCTCACAGGTTGTTCGGGAATTCTCATTTTAGAGGAAAGCAAGCAGGTTCTTTGGTGCCTTTAACTCACTTTGAACAACTTCTCCCTATAGGAAAAAGTATCCGGATTTTTCCATTTGTGATCGGTCACTTAGAATGATTCTGGAACTGTCCTGGAGATCAGCAATGGTACTCCTAATGAGCCTAAGTGTGGAGGGGAGAGGAAGAGGGAGAAGGAATAAAACATGCAACAGAATGCTAAATCCACAACTGGACATTCGTGGGTGTCATCAGAATACAAGTACCTATGTTTGTGTCATGATGCCACCATGTATGTGTCATTTTGATTCAACCTCAATTTGCTGCAGACACCACTGCAATTAAGACAGAGGTGACTTCAAGATGACTTATGAGGGGAAAGGATTCTCCTTGGTTACAGAACGGTTCCAGTGTAGCTTCCATGTTCCATTCCAGAAGGCAACACATATTATCCCTGTGGAATCACATTTTCCATTCAGTTCCGGACTTTGTAGGCACCTTCTGATTTGACCAATTGGGTACTGCCATAGGAATTAACAAGTTTGGGGACCTGAAGTGCCCTTCAGCATATAATAGATGGATACCTATAAACCTCATTGGTATCCTGGATTTTTAAAAGAGGGCAAGATTAGAACATTTTTTTTTTGCTTAAACTTTCTGTTTTGGTCTTGAATCTTATGACAGAGTATAAGTTTTGGTCAACTATTTCTTACTATCTGAAGCACCAGCTGCTCTCATTTCAGCTATATGCTTATAAAGAGGAAACAAGCCAAAGTGTGGTAAAATACATGATTGAATTCATCTGCAGAAAAGTCACAGGGAAGCAGGTACGTCTTAGCAGTAGTAGCAGCAGCAGGAAGCCCATCAGGGTAATTGCATGCACCTTCTAGTGGCAGACTTACTCCCTAGGTATGTTTGGAGGAGGAATTTTCACAGCAGAAGGTTCCACTCCCCAGATCTCTCTGGCATATTCAGTAATTGTCCTGTCACTGGAAAACTTGCCAGAGCATGCAATGTTCTTAATTACCTTTTTAGTCCATTCCCTAGGATTCTAAGAAGAAATAAGAAAGAGATTATTAGGCTGATATCTCAGAGCTTTAATAGTGGAAAGATCATTTGTTATTCATTGGACAGCTAGTTTTTCCAGAAGTTATGAATTCAGAGCTAGAATTCATAACTTTCAGTTTCTTAGAGCTGTAATAAACTTTAACTGTGGTTTCTCCTGTTTGTTCTCTACTTATTCTTGTTGTCTATTCTCCCCCTACCTGTTTAATTTATTGGGAATTGGGATTCCTCATTCCAGATAAATGATCTTAACTACTGCCATCCAATCTACATTTAACCGCTATTTTTTAAAAAAATCCTTACATTTAATATAGTTACCGTGTTTCCCTGAAAATAAGACATGGTCTTAATTTTTTTGCCTCCAAAAAAGGCACCAGGTCTTATTTTCAGGGAAACACGGTAACTATATGAAATGTAAGGATTTTTTTTTTAAAGCGGTTAAATGTAGATTGGATGGCAGTAGTTAAGATCATTTATCTGGAATGAGGAATCCCAATTCCCAGTAAATTAAACAGGTAGGGGAGAATAGACAACAAG